CCCAACCCCTCCCTCCTTGTTACCTGCAGCAGTGTGCTATGATGACAACAGTGCCAGGGTTAACACACGCAACACACGTACATCTACGGGCATGTGTCACAATCTTCGGTTGTCAATAACTCTGTTTGGTGAACAAATGTGCAAACGTGTGTGTTTATGAGTGTGTGTGTGTTTGTGTGTGGGTGTGTGTGTGTGCATGTGGGTGTGTGTATTTGAGTATGTAGCCAATCTTATGTCTCCACTGCAAGATGCCAGTGTCTATTCTTTTACAACAAGTCAGCCCGTATGTGTGAAAGTATTTACCTGTGTTCAATTATGAAGTCATTCATCCATCACCAGCATGTGTGGTGTAATTGTTACACTCTTTGCTATTGCACAGTGAAGAGGTGAGCTTAATTCCCATTTGGATAGGGTTGTTTGTTTTTTTTTCTTTTTAATCGAGTGTCTCTGTCTGTTTATTGGAAAATAGAATCTCTCTCAGTCTCAGTTGGCCCTGACATCAGGGTTGAAGCCGGCTTGTTGCCCAAATAGTCTAAATTGTGTTGATGGGTATGTAAATCCCTTAAAACTACAATCACATTTATCCTCCCTCAGAGTGCAAGTACCCATACTTTGGCGACAATTGTGCCGGCGTGTGTGCCTGTAATGGCCGTGGTTCCTGTGACCATGTGCGTGGCTGCGTGTGCGACTCGGGCTGGACGGGACCTACTTGTGCTTTGGACGTGAACGAATGTCAGACTCTGGAGCAGCCGTGCCCTGATAATCAAGAGTGTGTCAACTCTTTGGGAAGCTACACATGTAACTGCCGGCCAGGATACCACATGGAAAGTGGGAACTGCGTGGGTGAGTGTTGTTCCAGTTTTAAAGACACAAGTCTTCTTCTTCTCTCTATTGCATCTCATTTGAAGTCCAGTATCTATAATATAGGCCTACAGAGCCATCCTGCTCAGTTCATCTGTCGGCCCGTACAGCTAGGACACAAGTGTTAAAAGGGATATGTTATGATGATTTTTCTTGTGCTATTCTATTACAGGTGGTTGATTGGTGCTCTGTTGCGTGTAGTACTCTTTTTACTCTTAGTCTTGCAAGTCTCCTATTTTATTCCTGGCAGTGAATTGTAAAGTGCGCTGACTCGTGATTTGTATTAGAATTGTTTTACTCTATACTACTATGTAGTGCCATGAAATGGTCATTCAAAACTTTTTTTTTTTTAAATTACCCGTAACACTGCATTTCTGTGTATGTGTGTGTGTGTGTGTGTTCGTGTGTGTGTGTGTGTGTGTGTGTGTGTGTGTGTTCTTATAGTATAGCTCTTTGAATGTTGTTGTTTTTTTTTTAACCCCTTTTAGTTTATCATTTTACTAGCTTGCGCAATGTTGCTAGCCTGTTGCCCAGTTCTACCGACTACTGCATGATTTGATAATTCACTACCTTAAAATTACCAAGTTCTACCTGACATGTTTTACCTTGAGGTCAGAAACCAAATGTTCTACGTCATCTATCAAAACTATCAAATTATTGGCAGTCATTATCAAAGTATCCAAAGAGTTGCATATTAAAAAATTTGACATGTGAAACTCAAAATTTTTACTTCAAATTTCTTAAACCTAGGTACTGAGCAGATGGAATTAGGTAATTCTAGGGTAGTGAATTGTTATCTTGTCTTTGCTTCATCCATTTTTTGTTTCTTCTTATCATACCCATCTGTACCCCCATCTTACCTTCATCTTGTGTGTTTCTCAGATGTTAATGAGTGTGAGGATGTACTGGATCACAGCTGCCGCCTTGGGACCGAGAACTGTCTCAACACAGTGGGCAGTTATGACTGCCCGTGCCGGCCAGGATATGCACGCAACCAACAGGGGGATTGTGAAAGTAACTGCAGAGATCTTGACTCTCCTCATAGCTTTGCTATCTCGTCAGACATTTTAAAACTGCTTTGCTGTTCTCTCTTTTTTTTAAAGTAGTTTATCAACAATTGTGAACTCATTTATAGTCTTGTTTCAGTTTCTCAAGACCATCAACTGCTCCTGAGTCTCTATCATTGTCTCATTGAATCTCACTTATTTCTGTGCTAAATCATTCTTGAATGGATTAGTATCGTAATTACACTGATTTTTTCACAAATCAGGAAGATTTTCTTTACCATTGGTTATATTTAATGCTTTCAAGTCTGTTTTCATATACTTAATATCCTTTTATTTTTTCTCTCATTTGTTTAAAAAATTGCTCTTAAACATTTATGTCACTGTTTCTAGAATATACCATGTTCTGGTGCTGTCATGAATCCTGAAAAGTCCTCTGTCTTTGCTTCTCCATCATGTATCTTTTTGTGTTCTCTCATGAAATGGGTGGTTGGCAGAAGGAAATTGTGGGTTACATACAACTAAATGTTTTTACTTTATTACTTTACCCTCCCTGTTGACACATCGGCTAGTAGCACACATCACAACATAAATAATAGTGGAAACTAATCTTGTGCTTCAAGTAGTTTTACTCACAGACTGACTGCATTTACATAAACTGGTGATTTTAAAGATGCACAAGTTCAAACAGAATCTTTAAATTTATGGGATTTGTATTAAATTCATTCTTCCACTGAAAGCGTTTCAATTTGTCCAAGAGAGGGAGTACAGATTCTGGGTTTTTTATGTCATTTTGCTTTTGCCAGCAGTAAGTGTTATTTACTGTGTCTATGAACTTCTGTTTGAATGAAACTGTCAAGCTGACAACAATGCTTTTTCCCACTCTCACCCTCACACCCCCCTCCCATTTTCCCACTCACAGATGTTGATGAATGTGCACGAGGCATCCACAAGTGCCAGCACATCTGTGTGGACACCCAGGGCTCTTATAACTGCAGGTGTTACTTGGGATTCCGCCTGGACAGTGACAGACGTAGCTGTGTACAATGTGAGAGAAGATGGCGTGACTCTGATGTACTTTTTAATAAGCATGTGCACTTACCACTATGCACACATGCCTTCTCACTCCCACACACACTCACATGCATTCACATATACACACACACATACACACACACACACACACACACACACACACACACACACACACACACACACATACACACACATGCACACAAACACACACTCATACAGAATCTATTGTGTTTTGGTTAGGGTCTTTTCTTTGCATGCAGGGGATATAAGATTTTGCCCCACATGGGGTAGATGCATCCAGCACATCCTGCCTTTTTTATGATCGAAATTGTGTTTATTTGAGAACAAAACAAACTCACACATATACACACACACACATATACACACAAATATGCACACAAACATACATGCACATACACATCCACTCTGTAGCTCAATGCAACGCTGCAAATGTATTCACATATCCAGGGTATGATTTTTTTTAAAAATCTTTTAATACTTTCCACCCACGCAGCGCGTGAAGCACGCACCACTGTCCCCACATTCCGAGACGGGGTGCATTAGTCCTATATATGTATCTCTGCAAAAATACCTTTATCATTATGAAATGAACTTCGCACTGAAAAAAAATGAACGTTATGATGGCCTGTTCACCAAAAAAGAAATTAGAATTTGAACTGAAAACATTAAATCTAGCATATTAATCACCCGAATTCTCATCCAAGTGTAAGTGTAAAACAGTACTTATGCCAGGTCTAATCGACAATTTTCTCCCAAAAATTACTCCAATTGTTGTAAACAAACTGATTTTGCCCTCAAAGACCTCACAAACCATTCAGAAAGGAAATTATAATTTTAACAAGTGCGCATGTCTAAAAAGCGATCATTCTTACAATATTTTTGTTACTATATCACACCATCTCTGAGCAGCGTCCCGTGGGGGGAAAGGATGGCTTCTTACCATCATTGATCGGCATCCAGTGTGGGCAAAGTGTTAGGTTGCTCTCAAATTATTCTGTTTATTCCTCATTTCCTTTCAACATGTATTCCTGTTGCCCACTGTTTAGCAGTAAGTGGTTATGTATTGGTGAAAATAGTCTCAGATTCATGCACTGTCAATAATATGTCAAGTTGGGCATAACCGTAAACATTTCATAATTGGGCATCTTGAAAGATACATGGGTTAGTGGTAATATTGTCATAACCCCTTCCCCCCTCGCTCCCAACTTCTACTGCCTCTCTATAACATCCTTCCCCTCCCACTTCTCTATCACAGCGGAGGATGTGTGTGAGGGTGTGACCAACCTGAATTGTGAGCAGATCTGCTCTGTTGACCAGGAGAAGAACGAAGCTTTCTGTCAGTGCGATGCTGGCTATGAACTGCAGGGCACTGAGGCCTGTGTTGGTTAGTTACTGTGTAAAATTATAATAAACAGTTTGATCACATAATTTTACTCATAAAAATCATCAGAATTAACTAATTAAATTAAATCATTTTTTCTGCTCAGTACCTAGTTTTGAGAAATTTAACATTAAAAATTGGGAGTTTTACAACATGCCAAACTTTTTAAAATGCTCTTCTTTGAATATCTTGATAATGACTCCAAATAATCTTACGATTTTGATAGAGCAGATAGAACATTTTGTTTCTGACTTCATGGTCTTAGTAACTCAAAACGGCATAAAATGTCAAGCAAAAGTTTGTAATTCTAAGGTAGCAATTTTGCTCCTGATTATGCTTTCTAAGACTAATGTTAGTTCTTTTAGATCTGAGATTTCATAATGCCACTCTCCTCACAGAGTCAGTTTTTAATGCTCTTTAATGTTACCTTTCTACAAATTATTGTGGTAATAATTAACTACACTTACACTGAGAATCTGTCAGCTATGTGTGTGTTCGGATGTGTGCTAGACTGTACCCATTTTTATCTCATGTTAACTTGCCGCCCTTGACACCACCATACCAGATGTGAACGAGTGTGATCCCAAGTTCCCTCACCTCAACTTGTGTGACTACAAGCCTGGCTGTGTCAACACAGAGAGGGGGTTCCTCTGCTCCTGTGGACCAGGGACTAGGCTGGACAATGATGGCAGGACCTGCGTCGGTCAGTATTAAACACTTTGTCACAGTCATAACACAGTTGCCCTTGTCTCTTTTTTTTCAGGTTTTTAGTTGTTGTGTAGTAAAGATACCTGTTACTTGTTTTGTATCCTCAATATTATTATTATGTTTGTGTGTGTGTGTGTGTGTGTGTATGTGTGTGTGTGTGTGTGTGTGTATGTGTGTGTGTATGTGTGTGTGTGTGTGTGTGTGTGTGTGTGTGTGTGTGTATGTGTGTGTGTGTGTGTGTGTGTGTGTGTGTGTGTGTGTATGTATGTGTGCACCAAATAAAGATCCAATTATTGGGACATTATCACTTTTGCTCAAGTCATTAGAGTGGCTTGTGATTACTTGTGCATGTGGACAACCTTGATGGTTTTTATGTCACTTATCTAATTCCAGAGGTGCTAATTTTCTGGATAAATCAGGAAATCTAACTTTCTGAAATAGTCTGAAATTTTGCCAGACTTCAGGTCGATATTTATGAAGTCTTGATGCAAGATGTACCAGGTACCATGATCTGTACTGTAAAGTTTAAGCCCCCACAGTGTCCAAAAAATTCAGGATTTTATTCATAGCTAGTTGGCACTCTGTAATGTATTTCTGGTAAAAATGTGATCTTTACCCCGTTTACTCCCTGTAAATGGCCGGAAAGTCTCAATAACAAGGACCCCACTCAAACTCTGCTGTTTTGATTGTAGGGTTCAAATTGCTTTCCTGAAACATTTTCTGTCATCTGGAGGTTTTATCACGGATCAAATGTTTGCTCATGGAATAAATTGCTGTGTGTTAGAGATAGCAGAATAAGCATCAATAACAGAAAAAATATAGGGAATTGGGGGGTGGGGGTGTATGCTTTTCATGTATATAATGCAGATGGAAGTATTTAAGATAAGAGGTGTTTGTTGAGGTATATGTACAAAAACAACGGTATTTAGAAAATATACCTAGTTTAATGTAGAGTGGTTCTGTAAAGTAATTTGAGCAATTTAGCTCTTTTTTCATCTTGTAAAGATTAATGTTGGTAGCTAGTATTTAAAAATTGTGCTGGGATTCTTTCATGAAAGGGTGTTTGTTTTGGATTTGCACACATGTCCATGTGTGATTCTTTTATTTGGCTTCATTCAGCTTTACTGAAAACCAGGTTTTAGGGGAAATGGAGGCTCGGTTTGTGTTGTAAACCTATTTCAATGTGGTATGAAAAACTCAGTGGCCATGTAATTAAACAGAGATTGGTCTTTTTCTGTGTGTTTGCTCTATGAAACTTTAATGCTTCTGATGTGCTGGGAGTTAAAAACTCATTTATTGCTCATTTCTGTTTGCATGTATAAATAGAAAATGCACACTGCATCCTATTTTGGCCTAAGTGAAGATTTATTTTCTTGTTGCAGAGTGCTCCGGGGGCCGCTGGGGAGAAAACTGCACTCAAGATTGTGACTGCTCTGAGAACGCTGTCCGCTGTGACCCGGAGCGAGGCTGCGTCTGCAAATCTGGCTTCTCAGGTAATGCTCAACCGATTATGTGCCTTTCCCTTTCCTTTTTTTTTTTGCTTACATTTTCTTATGTTCGATTTGATTTTTGTTTTGTTTTTGGGGATTAATTTTTTTCATATTTGCTTAGTGCTTGCCAGTATTTCATTAGTAGTAACCAATCTAATGATAAAATACAAGACATGAACTTCTTCACACTCTGATATAATAATTCAATTTGTGTTCAGTTTGGTTGGTGTTTATATAACTGAAACTAGGTCGAATGAAAAAAAAGGAAACTGTAGCTTACAGCTCTAGCAATGCAGAATATTGGCATTGTAGCCAAAGCATTGCATGGACATACCTGCTTGACAGTGACAGATAGTCTGGCCATCCATAATGGACATTTGGAGATAGATGGATATATATGCTCTCTAATGTCTTAGATAAGTTTTTATGTCTCTTCCTGAATTTTTGTGAGTGGGTGCATATTTATGTGAGGTTCTGTGTGGGCAGATATGTGTGTGTGTGTGTGTGTGTGTGTGTGTGTGTATGTGTGTGTGTGTGTGTGTGTGTGTGTGTGTGTGTGTGTGTGTGTGTGTGTGCGCGCTTGCATGCATGTGCGTTAATTGAGTTGCAATGCTGTGGCCTTCTGTGTCCATTGATAAGTGTGGTATAAGTTAACTCACATGTGTGTTATAGTGAGAATTTGTTTGCTTGTTTGAGTGCATTTGTCAAGGTGTGTCTGTGTGTTGGCTGAATTTTATCTCCAACTATTCCCAGGTGTCCACTGTGAGAAGGACATTGACGAGTGTATGACTGGTCTGGTCACATGCTCAGATAAGGAGCAGTGTGTAGATACTCCAGGCAGTGCCAGATGTGACTGTGTTCAGGGACTACACAGGGTTAATGGCCAGTGTGTGGGTAAGTCAACTGTTGAGGAAGAAGGAAAAATTATAATCATCAGCGAGCTATTCAGATGTACAAAACCCTAAATTTTGATTTTTTAAAGATTGCGATTTCTTAATCTGTGGTATTGGTTGCATATGCTCAAGACATATTTGATTAAAATTCAAAATCTAAATGTTGAAAAAAAAATGCAAAGAAGAGATCAATAATGTATAGTTGCAATTTTTTCAGAAATATGAAACAATTTTTTCAGTCTCCTGAAAAATTTTTCTTTCTGAGCGTAGAACATTTGAACAGCTAGCAAGCATATATATATACGTATGTTCACGTCTCTATCCTCTGATATCAATTCTAATTAGTGATGGCTCTGTGAATTGAACATTTACGAGCAAATATCTGAAATATAATTAATAGTCCTTCTTTTCTGTCCCTGTTGTTTCTTTTTTCTTTCCTGCATTCTCCCATCCATGGATGTGCTGTACCTTTATGTGTCTGCGCAAATCTTGCAACAGGATATTTGTAATCTCTTCCATCACTGCAGTGTTAGTGACACACATCATCTGCTCAATTCCAAAGATAGTACATACCAAGATGGGCCACTCAGCCAAAAAAGTGTCCGCAGGAAGTATGCTCTTTGCTTCAGATGGCGCTGCAGTCTGTTTTGAAGCTCTCTTTCGTTTTTCCAGAAGAAGAATAGGAATAGCACTCCTTGCGTGCGCAGATGGACTGCTGTTCATCAGCAGTTCGGGTTCGTTCAGTACGGAGTTTTAGTTTTTTTTAAATTTTAATGACCTCTCGCCTTTCATTCTAAAGTCAAATTAAACGAAGAAAACAATCAACCTTTCCTCCGGAAGAGGTTTTTTGTCAGCGTAACCATTTTAAAAAAGCGTTCTTCTGAAATTCATTCAAAAACTTGCTAGTTTCACTTTGATTTTTTAAACTCAAGTAGAATAACTCTGTTCGCTAAAGGTGCGCTTTTGCGAAGAGGGCGCCACCGAATTTTGAGGACACTTTTTTAATTGGCTCAAAGAGAGAAGTGGCCCCTCTTGTTATGTAGACTCTTTGTCAATTCTTAACATTTCTGATTAGCACTCCCTTTTGGGGTAGTTCAGTTTAAAATTTTAACTGCAATATATTTCCTCTTGACCTCCAAATAGAAATGTTGTGGCCAATGTAAATCTATGTTAAAAAGTGTATGAAAAGTGAGTATTCTCAATGCATAAGCATTTTGCCCTGCCTTTTATTTTGTTGAACTCTTCAAGTGAAGGTTAGAACTGTATTACATACAGAAATTTCGTTAAGGAAAAACGTTTTTGCCCCAGGTTTAAAATGGCATTGAAATACACTTTTTTTACAGCTTGGTTCACAAATGTTGTGCTATTTCTTTTTACTTTATAGTCTTCTCTTTGCTTAGAACTGGACTTAAGTGGTTCTTATTAGTCTCAGGAATTCTAAGAGTTTGCGAGGATTTAGGGAGTCTACTTTCTTATCTTTCCATTTGATAGATGGTGTCTAACAGTCTATTTTGTTATCTGATTTGCTAATGGCTGTGCCCATCTATATTACCTCTATTCATTTTGATGCTGTACCCAACTAATCTTCACAGATAAAAATGAGTGTGCATTCACTCAGGATAATGACTGCACCCAGGTGTGTGAGAACCTTGAAGGTGGATACCAATGTGCATGCTATCAAGGCTACAGCTACAATGCTGTCAACAAAACATGCACAGGTAAGAATGCCGTACCAAGTGAGAGGATTTGATGTTACTTGATGGATGAGAAGATTTTCAAATGAACATGAATTCAAACCTCAGTCATCATTATGATGTTAAAGTTCCTTCTGTGCCACTAGTATAGCCTATGCTTCATGCACTAAAAGCATTTGGAATAAGGCAGGACCACAGAGGGTTGGGAGGAGGGGTTGTCACAGTGCTTGAAAGGTCGTGCAAGCAGAGTGTCCAAAAACTTGACTGTGCAAAGAAGTCCAAATTTACCATTTGAAATTGATTAAAATAATTAAAACTTTCAGATATGAGTGTCCTCCAGATTCGTAAGTACATCCGGAAAGTGAACCCCATATTTTGATACCTGCAAAGTTCCCATGTAGTTCAAAACTTGACACACGATGATAATGAAATAATACCCTTCCATGAATTTTTTGTATGTAATTTGTAGGCCTAACGAATTTTCACTTTTTTCTTTTCCTTCTTTCACTTTTACTCTGCCCACCAGGATTAGGAGTTTCCTGCCTTATGAACAATATAATTTTTACCTTAAAGAGTGTTTGTTGTTGTTGTTATTTTGGTTGAACTTTCTACGTTACAAGATGTCTTGGGATACATTTCGAGGACAAAACATCGCCTATGTACTAAACTGAAGTAATGGACCAATCTATCTTCCAGATGTGGACGAGTGTGCCTTGGGCACAGCTGGCTGTGAGGGTGATTGTGAGAACACAGAGGGGGGCTATCGCTGTACCTGTGCTGAAGGTCTCAGGCTCAACACTGACGGGGTCACCTGCAGAGGTTTGATTGCTCTTCACATTGCTCTGCACAACTGTGAAAATTACAATATCATCCTATCATAAGCGCTCAGAGCCTGTACACTTTAATCAGGGTGGAGCACCATATAAATGCCATATATTATATTATTATTATTATTATTATTATTATTATTATTATTGTTGTTGTTGTTATTATTTCTATTATTATTGTCATTATCATTATTATTATTATTATTATTATTATTATTATTATTATTATTATTATTGTTATTGTTATTGTTATTGTTGTTGTTGTTATTATTGTCATGATCACTAAAACAGTAGCAGAACTTCAAAATCAAATGGACCTCTTTTCAACTAAATGTAAAACAGCTGATCAGCAAGTCAACGGCTTAATAGTTTCTTACACAACAAAGTTATAGCACAACCAGAAGTCATGTAGGCCTCACCATTAACAGTGAGCAGGCACTTGAGTTAAGTGTCAGAAGTAGTACAGTTTCCAGACTATCAAAGAAAGCTTGGTGTAACAGGATGCTACTGTAGAATTACAAAGTTCTGTCTGCTCAGCACCTAGTTTTGGGAAATTTGACTTTAAAAATTTTGAGTTTCACGTGTTAAGCTTTTTAGAATGCAGTTCTTTGAATTTCTTTATAATGACTGAATAATCTTATGATTTTGACCAAGTAGATTAAACATTTGGTATCTGACCTCTTGGTCTTAGTAAGTCAAAACGGCCAAAAATGTTACATAGAACTTTGTAATTCTGAGGTAGTCAGGAGTCTCACACAACATCTTGACCAAGATAAAAGTGAGCTAAACTTGTGTTTTGAGCACACTCCTCTGTGGGAGTGGTACAGTAGTCTCCGCCTAAATGCACGGAGCTTGGGAGGGCTCCATAGCATGTGTTTATATGGAGCATGCATTTACATTAACCTTTGCAAAGGGAGGAAGGGACGCAGTCATCTCATTGCCTTGATATTCTAGTTACCTCTCTTTGGGGTGGGGGTCACTTTGGGCCGATAATGTGACGACACGAGACTGTTTTGAGTAGGATTTCCCGACTGCGGTTAAGAATACAAAGGCATTGAATGGGTGTGTGTGTGTGTCGGGGGGTGGGGGGGGAACAGAAATACAGACTCAATGTGCACCATAAAATGTCGGGAACAGATAGCCTAAAAGGAAATTGTTGGTGATAGTCATAGAGATGATGGCTCAGCCACGTGGCTTTCCAAGTGACCACCCTCGACTGTAAATTCATGAACAACCTTTCACGCATGTTGCGCATCATAGGCGTAGGTCTAACTAAACATTACATGTAGTCACCCTAACACCAGTCAGAAACCTTCTCTCAAAGAGATGTATTTCCAGTGACCAATCAAATAACATTTCAGTCCCCCAACCCCCCAACATTTCACCGACCAGTCCCAGACCTATGTGTCTGGGGAAAATTGGGTGTGAAAACGGTGTCCATCCCTCTCTTCGTTCAAAGTGAGGGGCAGTCTCACCAAATATCAGGTTTTCTAGGCTTGTCTTATGCAAGCTGTGCAGATTTTTTTGTCTAGCTTTACCTGTCGGCATGTTTTGCAGATCAGAGCATGCGCTTAGAGGGAGTGACTGTGTGTTTGTGCGTCTAAATTATATAGTAAAAAACCTGTCAGATGACGAAAGCGTGCTTTTGAGCTGAACATGTTTTTGTATGGCATGCGTTTAGGCGGAGACTACTGTACCTGGAGAGAATTTCACAACAGGAAAAAAGATCAACTGCTTTCAAATAAGATACCTTGGAAACATTCTTGGAAGAATATGAAGGGACAAGATTACTAACACCAAGTTGCGGAAAAGATTAGTAGTTCCCACTGAATTTTCACAGCCCATGTAACACAGACAGCTACGTCACCTTCGACACGTGACTGATGAAAGAATTCCAACAGACTTCATTCGTGAAAAATGTACCATTTTGCCCGAAATGTGTGGATTTTCAATCGGTCTAAAGAATAAGGATCAAAAGAAGATTTTATTTCACAATAATTTCAGGCAAGGTTTGCATTATATTTACTCATAAAACAAGGTTGGCCATCTTTTTCAAAAATAAATGAAAAAAAGAAAGTTTATTAATTCCTCAAAATCAGCTCTATTCTATAAATAGGTAGTAAAAAGAAATCCTCATTTTACTGAAATCTAAAAATAAAAATTGGTTTTAAAAGTTTGAATTTCTTACTTTGATATTATTGGATATGAATGGTCTGAAATTCTTTTAAATGATATGTGTTTGTTTGTCTGTGTTTGTCTTTCTATTTATATGGACTTTACTCCCCAGTGGCTGACACCTGTGACCCAAGTACAAATGTGTGCGGTGAGAAAGACAAGTGTCGCATGGTGGACGGGCAGGCCCTGTGTTCATGCTCGAGAGGGAAGATTCTGGACCCCACTGACAACAGCACATGTCTGGGTAGGTAGTGTCTCTGACAGTAGCATGTGTCTGGGTACGAAGTAGTGTCATCGAAAAATGCATATGTTTGGGTAGGTGGGTGTCACCAATAACAGGGCATTTCTGGGTAGGTAGTGTCACTGACAACAGCACCCGTCTGGGTTGGTAGTGTCACTGACAACAGCACCCGTCTGGGTACGTAGTGTTACTGACAACAGCACACGTCTGGGTATGTAGTGTTACTGACAACAGCACACGTCTGGGTATGTAGTGTTACTGACAACAGCACACGTCTGGGTATGTAGTGTTACTAACAACAGCACATTTCTGGGTACGTAGTAGTGTCATTGAAAAATGAGTTTGTCTGGGTAGGTATTAACCCGGACAAAAGCATGTGTACGGGTAGGTAGTGTCACTGACTAGCATGTGTCAGGGTATGTTGTAGTGTCATTGAAAAATGCATATGTCTTGGTAGGTAGTGTCACTGTCAACAGCACATGTCTAGGTGCATAGCAGTGTCACTGAAATGGGCATATGTCTGGGTAGGTGGTGTCACTGACAGCAGCATGTGCCTGGGTAGGTAGTGTACCCTTGGTTTTGTAGTAAAAATCTTATGGCACTTTTAACACATTTAAGTCACATAAGTGCTGAGAGAGTGTCACTGACAACAGCACATGTCTGGGTAGGTTAAGTTGTAATGTCACTGACAATGACATGTGTCTTGGTATGAACTTTCATTACATCACTGACATAAGTAATGATACAAGTAATGGGCAAAAACATCATTAATGGTTCTTGGAGACAGAGAATACTGAACCGAAGGATATGTCTATAATGTACACTATTTCTCACATGTTTGTGTTACTTTTAGGTACCCTGACTTCAACCCCACCCAACCACCCTTTCTTTGCTAAAGTATTTCTTTTTTTCCCCCCATTCTTCTTTTGAATTTTGTCTTTATAGCAAGAAATGTCACATGCCCACTGCACTGAGTAGTTGCTATTTGTGAAAAACTGTAATAAAATATATTTAGGGGGGGGGGGTGGTTAGTGTCTCTAGATTTAAATTTATTAATTGTTTAGTTTATTATTGGATGTCCTCCTTTCTTCCCCCCAGATATTGACCTGTGTGCTAGCGGTGAGCACCCGTGCTCGCACACATGTGAGGAGACAACAGATGGGGCCTCCATCATTTGCTCATGCCCAACAGGAATGACGCTCGCCTCTGATGGATTCCTGTGTGTTGGTGAGCTCATTTCTCCCTTCTTTTAACCAAACAGATGTTGGGTAACTTGTCTTCTGGGTGTAGAATCATTAATGTGGGGCTATCAGGAGTCCTGAAATTTGTTGAACAATCACTCATTTGGAGCCCATGCCCCTTTATCTCTCTCAAATCTTTACTGTCTTTCAATATTGTATTTTGTCTTCATCCTGTAAACAAGATGTTTTATACTGTGATTATTCCTGTATGTCATGTATACCAAAATAGATCATTTTCCTACTGGTCCTTATGTGTGTCAGTACATCGATAAGAATTCAGCAAACGCGTATGCTTTAGGGGTATTTTGTTTCAAATGGAACTGATGCAGGTAATTTTATGTGTCCATTCTTTTTAACCTAACAAGCACCTTGTGTTTTAAAAAAAACTGTTCAAGTGGATACTTGAATAGAGGGATGCAGATATATCTTAGGCATTGTCTTTGCTCTCTTAAATGACTATGTTTGTTTTTTTCCGCTTTGCCTATTTTGGTCCTCACATTCCCAACATACGTGCTCCTCTTTTGTAACTTGTGCACTTGGCTTACCTGTTATTCTTTACTCCTTCATAAAGGATGTGGCAGGAGGTGGGATTACCAACTCTAGTAAGAAGATGGTGAGCTTTTGTTTGTCAGGAATGATTACTTTTCTAGAAGGAGTTGGAGCTCATGCCTGCACATGCAGGAGGAAAGTACGGAATAGTTGCCAGCAGTAGGAATATGTCAGACCAAAAGCTGGCACGTAGATGCAAGACGTGGGGGAGAACAAATATACGTTTTTATTTAGGAAGTAAGTGTGTTCCACTCTCTGAGGGAAGTACACATATATTCTGTATCCATTTTGTCTTAATAAAATCCTCGTTGTAACCTTACATGTATCCATGAGAAGGCTCTCATAACTTTCCAATGACTCTAATGGCTGACCTGTTTATTCTTATTTACTCAGGGATGTCAGAGTTTTTCCCCCTGTTATTTCTGTCACAAAATAGACACTTACAAGACAAATAAATCAAGGGAAAATAATGAATTCTTTTCCAGAAAGAAGAAAATCAGGAAAATCCAGACATTTATTTCGTTTTCTTCATGCAAAAATGATGGGGAGAAAGAACAGTTATTTTTCTCCATAATTATTTTCTGTTTTTTGTCAATTAATTGTCTTTTTATTTGCAAAGGCAACTGTGTAAATTTTCTGTCTTTCTGTTCACTGAGAGTGGTATAAAGATCTGCAGTTTTTTAGGGGCCTTCTGCAATCATTTACACTTTTTGTGTCCATTGACTGAAAAGTATCCCTTTATAACTTACTGCCCTAGAGAGCATTATATAAATTACCTTTCCTAATAAGGATGCATCCTAAAGGACAGAGTCAAAAACAGAACTCTGGTCTTTTGTATAACATGTTCAATGTCTAGGAGCTTGGAAAGGACATCTCATGGTTGCTCATAAATTAAGCCCTTAGTGCATTTCTGTGAACTCGTGATATTTACTCAGAGTTCACAACATAGTAGATGGGGCAGTCATCTGTCATGATCGTCAAAATCTCTCTGCTTTCTTCACTAAGCTACATTAAATACATTAAAGTTTCTTTACTGGCGTCTATGGTGTAGTGGTTAGGCACTTTGCTGTCATATGCATGAGACCAGAGTTCAATTTCCAATTGTACAATTGTGTGTGTTGGGGGGGGGGATTTTAATTATCAAGGATCTTGGTATTTTTGCTGGGATGTCATATCCTTTTTAGCATGGGTTGGCCGTAATGGCAGGGTCAGAAATCTGCCTCCTAAATGATCTTAATTAGGTTAATAGAGACATTAAAAGTAACTACATTTTTTTTTTTTAATTTCGTTTGTTTTTCTCTTCCAGATTGTACTGAGGGCAAATATGGGTCAGACTGCAAGCTCACATGCTCCTGTGACCCACTGCACACCATCAGCTGTGACAAGGTGACTATATTTTAGGCTTTTGTGCTACCTATTTTTGTTCCAGTTTAACTCCTTATCTCTGACAAGCTATTCCAAGCAGCTCGCGGTCGAAACTGTCATGTTGGTTAGCCGCTAGCAGCGATTCAGGCATATTCTTTTACAACGACTTCAATGCCAAATTACCTTTTAGCAATTGCAGAAAGCAGGTCTCTTCTTGTGGGAGTTCATTCATAAGATGAAGAACTATTTTTATTTAAAAACCAGTTTAGTGACGTACGTGTAAATTTTAGATTTCGTACCAAAAGAGGGCCCTGGCATAGTGAGTTTACCCCTTCCTCAGAGTTAAAGAGTAAAGGTTCAACTAGAGTACGCCTTAATGCTTTCCTTCATCACTGCAGTGTGTTACTGACCTCAGTAGAGATTCTTCATGCCTAAGTTGTTTATTCTTTCATGAGCTCCATGGCGAGTGGCCTCATATAGCTAAGAAGGCAAGCTGCTGTATCCAATGGTTTTTGTCATGCCTTGCAAGCATGAGGACTACTGAGTTCTCTTTGTCATATTTTGTATTCGGCTTAGGCCTACTGTTTCTATTAGGGGCACTTCATAAAACTAATTGCAGATTCAAATTCAGTTAAATTTTTTTCAGGACAAAGAAATCCTTTGCTTTTTGACACAGTTTGTTGTATTTGCAAACTGGATCTAGTTATAAGCAATCAAAGTTGTCATGGCTCTTCCCCCATTTGGCTCAATCCTATCTCAAATAAAATAAAACAAGATTAATATTTATTGTCCAAACACTGGCGTAGTGGTTTGGTGTTACACCGCACACACACACACACACACACACACACACACACACACACACACACACACACACACACACACACACACACACACACACACACACACACACACACACACACACTCACACACGCAAACACACTCATATACACACACACACACCTGCACATGCACACACTCTCTCACACACACACACACACACACACACACACACACACACACACACGCTCTCTCTCTCTCTCTCTCTCTCTCTCTCTCTCTGTCTCTCTCTCTCTCTTGTTTTTACTCTCTCTCATTCTCTTTTTCTCTCTCTGTGTCTCTGTCTCTCTCTGTCTCTCTCTCTGTCTCTGTCTCTGTCTCTCTCTCTCTCTCTCTCTCTCTCTCTCTCTCTCTCTCTCTCTCTCTCTTCCACACACAAGTAAAATGAAATCCATGTTTTATCCTTTAATTATTCTAAACTCACAGTTACACAAATATGATATAGGCCTACATAAACAATAGTTAATAATAATAATGATAATAATAATACTGTTGCAGCTAGATATAATGTAATCAGTGTTCTGAAAGTATTCCAAAGGTATTCTGATGGTACAGACTTTAAAGGTATTAAGAAATACTTACTTTACGTATGCACATTTAGTCAAAAGTCAAGCCTTGTCCCATAGCACACCTTTGGATAACAGTGATAGAGGGTTTCATATCTACATTGTATATTGTGCAACCTGTAAAGTTTTGGGTTTTTTTGCCTAAAAACACACAGGCACATACTCTCACGTACACACACACTTATACACACAGCCTCTCTATTCCTGTGTTCAAAATTTCAAGGTATGATTTTTTTAAATTAAAAAAAAAAGGATGAAATCTGTTTCAACGTCCACTATTCCAAGACAATCTCTTGTACAAACAACCTCTTCCCAATTCCTCCTTTGAGTTTTTTCCCTTCTTTAATATTATAACAACACTGTCTAAAAAGACTAATTTTCTCCTCAACAGTGGGTGGTTGTTTTGGACAGGTTTGATTGAATTTTTCTTCTCGTTCCTTCCCCTGGAAATGGTCTTAGTCTAGTTTTTCACTAAAATAATTGTGTGCATGTTCTGTAGGTGCATGGCACATGCTCGTGTGCTCCTGGTTGGACCGGAGACACTTGCGACCAGGATGTGGATGAGTGTGGGACGGCTGGCACATGCTTGGAACACGCTGACTGTGTCAACACACCAGGGGCATACTTGTGCAAGTGTCAGCTGGGATTCTTCACCAACACAGACCTTGGCTCTAACTGCACTGGTGAGGAAACTATCTCTTATATGTTTCTATGTAGAAAGAAAGTCGACATATAAGGATACATTATGTATTATATTTTTACATACACACCACACACTTGTGTATGAATACTTGTACACTTGTACATTTGCATATGTAGGCCAATACACATGTGTGTATGTGTGTGTGTGTGTGTGTGTGTGTGTGTGTGTGTGTATGAGTGTGTGTGTGTGTGTGTGTGTGTGTGTGTGTGTGTGTGTGTGTGTGTAATTATATTTTCTGAGCTATTTTATTTCTTTTCCCAGTTCACGTTTAACAGTTGTTACTTGTTGTTAAAAGAAAAGTTTCTTGTTTACCATTTTTCTCTCTTGCAAGTGTTCCTATAGTTAAAGTCACACCCTTTTTTTAAAACTTGTTAAAAATTCCTGTACATGAAAATTTTCAAATTCTGTCTGCTGATATGGGATGGTTGGGGGAGGGGGGGGGGTTGATTATACTCTGCCTGCTATTATGAAAGTTAGGTGATGGTTTCATAAAATGTGGAATATCAGGAAGTGCATTGGGTGTATTTGCTTTATAAAAAGGAACTTTAAATTTGTAGCTGCAGTGATTTTTTTAAATATTAGTTTATTTTACAAATAACATTTTTGTATTACTGTTATTATTACCATTATTGTAAATGTACCGCTGTTGTCAATAAAGCTTTACTGTATCTGACAGCCTGCAGTGCAGGCAGCTATGGAGAGGAATGCAAACATCAGTGTGAATGCAGCACAGAGCACACACAGTCGTGTGACCCTGTGTCTGGCGCCTGTACCTGTGACGCAGGCTGGACGGGCAGTAAGTGCGACACTGACGTGGTGGAGTGTGGCACAAACCTGGACACTTGTGCCTCTTCTGGCAGACTGCACTGGGTGAGTTGAAGGGGTCTTTGTGCTGGATATTGAACACACTGGCTGTACTTTTTCTCTCCATATCGTCAGTGCATTTCGCTATGCACGTATGGAGCCTTCAGAAACATTCAAGAAAATGTGAAAAAAACTTTTTGATAGTCTAAAACATGTTCTAGCCTCTTGATTTTTACAATTTATATTTAAGTTGTCATGAATTATTGATGCAAAGTAAAATGTGATGGCTGATTTTTAAGATTGTGCTTAGATCAAATGCCTTAAGACCGGAGTTTTCAAAATTTTGTTCTGTACTCCGATAGTGAACTGCAATGACAATATGCATTATGGTATGTCATGTTGATTTGGTGGGTGTTTGGCAGGTGCGCTGGTTTGGTTTGGTCCTTCTGTCCTATCTAATGTCTGTTGTCTGTTTCCCTCTGCCGTCTTTACTTTGTATGTTATTCTAAAGTGATATCTCTTATCTTCGGCACTTGTACCACTTATTTGTGCTGCAAGAGCTAGAGAAACGCTTACTAAAGCTTTCACTAAAATATGTTGACCGGTGAATGTTAGCTTCCTTTATTCTCTTTTGGTCGACATGGGTGTCTACTGACTGTCATTTGTTTTACCAAAATGTGATTCCGCCTTTTGTCTGGTACAACAAGTGCCGTGCGTAATGTTTTCTTATGCAAAGGAGGCAGGTATTATATCCAAAGAGTCATGTCCCTCATAAGAAAGTATAATTTTCCTGATGTAACATATTCTGTTATTCTTTTTTAATGGAAAGAGTTTCACTGTTACTTTGTATCGACTTTTACATCCCTCTCTTGCGATAGTTTGTTTTCTTTGTACCATTCCACTCGACATGAGAACGTCATGTTGAAGATGGAGCTCTTTTCCCAAAGGTTAAAATAAGGGAGGAAGAAAAGAGGGGGAAAAAAGGCATAAACGAAGCACCAAAATAAATATCACACCTGTTTCTTGTTAGCAGGTGATGTGTGTCTGTCTTTGTGTACAGGGATGGGTTGTTGTTTTTTTCCGGGTAATGTTACAGAAATCTGTTAGGTAGGAAGAGTTTTTATTCTCAGCATTTGTTTTCTGTTTAACCCCCTATTAGTTGCATCTATTAACTGACTTTTTGTTTGCTTATGCAACTTTGTAAATTTTCACTTACTTTCCAAAAATCCTAGTAGCATTCATATGTGTAGCAGCTTTAAAAAGGTTTTGTTTGAAGAAATGTGCACTCATTTACAAATCTTCTGCCTATCTCCCAGGGCTGTATCAACGACCCAGGCAGCTTCCACTGTGATTGTGTGTCTGGGTACACTGAAGACAACGGAGATTGTGTCGGTATGACTTCATCAATTTCTTATCTGTCACCATGTAATCCTTACACTGTCCTTTTTTCATTCTTATATAAGGTAGCGTAAACACGGCCTCGCAGGCACTCCTGGCCTTCCGACCAAAACCCCAAATGCCGTACACCTTGTAAAAGTTCAGCTTTTCCTCGTTACAATGGTGTAAGTTGTTTATATGTCTGATTATTAGGAGCTGGAGAATCGCCAACGAAAGCGAAGCCCCTCGCGGTCGGAATGCGTGGTCGGCCGGTTAAGAAATTGACACGCGTGCATTCAAATGCTCTGCGGAATGAGGGATGATTAAATACCGTCTTTTCATTGGCGGAGAACTGTAGAGCTTTAAACGGGCTTTCCTGTGGTATATATTTGGCCTTTGGCGTTTAAATAGAAAACTTTTTAAAATACTGTCAAAATGTTAAAAGATCACTTTTTACAAAAAAAGTATGTAAAATATCGGCTTTAAAAAAAAGATCATTTAAAAGATCAGTTCACTTCCTATTAGAATAAAGTAATTAGCTTGGAATTATTTTACATCAATCCTTCCTCGAGATTCGGAAAGCATGTGACAATGCACGCCGGTGTGGCGCCGGCCGGGTCAACGCTCTGTGTTTTTGTCGAAATAACGACAGATCATCGTGTTTGAGGCGATAAAATACTGATTTGTAATGATCTCACAGTCTTGAAAAAAATTAGGCTCCATATATTTGTTATCTGTTACTGTGGAGATGTTTAGTGCACTTGGTACCCTTTTATTGTCTGTCAAACATGGGGTTGCAGCCAGTGACTGACTTTAACAAATTTGATCAAATTTTAAACGACTACCATTTTCATAAAAATTGACTGAGAGGTTAAAGAGTGGTACCAAAATGCTCAGTGGATATAGGTCTTTCAAATGGAACGGACAAATTTGGCATACAGCTACTTTGAAAATTTAGTTTCTGGTACCTATTTATATAATCTGATGTCTTACTATCCTCTCTTTCTTGAGCTCTGTATGTTGTCTTGCTGCTTTCCCTATTGTAAACACAGTTTGTAGTCCTGCTATTCCTACTGCAATCAGCACTATCTGTTGCTTTTATGTTTCTGTGATGACCATATAACTACTTTCTGTGATGACCATATGACTACTTTCTGTGATGACCATATGACTACTTTCTGTGATGACCATATGACTACTTTCTGTGATGACCATATGACTACTTTCTGTGAATTTCCAGAAGTAATAAATGTTACTGATTTCCACAGAATTTAGTATAGTTGGATTTTTGCATTATAAAGTTCTTTTTCCCCCTTTTACTTCTGTAGTATTACCAACCATTTCCCATAGTAAAGACATTTTTAGAAAATTTTGACCCTTCTGGAAAGTGTGGAAACAAATTAATAGAGGCCTTTAAATACTTGGTCTGACTGTTTTTTGATCATGCAGTACGTTCACCATTTTGGTGGTTTTCTTTTGGCTCAAAGCCAGCTGTTTGATTTTTAAAATCCTTTAAGGAGAAAGTGACTCTAGTTCTGCTCTCCAATTTCCTGCATTATGATTGCCAAAACGTCTAAAACACACAAAAGCACTCATGCACACACACACACACACACACACACACACACACACACACACACACACACACACACACACACACACACACACTTCCCACATACTTACGCACGCCACGCACACACGCATATCGCTCATATTACACACACGCTCACACACACACACACACACACACACACATACACACACATGTACATGCACATACACATACACACACACACACACACACACGCACATCCACACACATACACTAACACGCACAGATTTACACACAAACACAAACACTAACACATACACAAACACACACACACACACACACACACACACACACACACACACACACACACATGTCCACGTATACACACGCTCGTCATTTTTTTGGAAATGTGGAATTGTATCATCTTATAGCTAGTTCATTCGTCTCGTTTTTGGTTAAAAAGAAAGAAACATTTATCATGAATAGAAGTCGAAATATTTGCGATTGAAGCAGATGAGGATGTTCTGGTTTTAGGGACAATTTTAGCGAGAACGTTTCCCGCCAAAGCTGCCAGACTTCCAAAGGTTCTGAGAGTTCTTGGAAACTGCATTTTTACATGTTGTGTACCTTAAATACACGTTTTTCAGTAAGATCCACTAAGACGTGATTTAAACAGATCCAAATGTGTTAAGTCAAAAACGAAAAATTCGATGAAATTTGCCAATCGGGCTAAACAAAATGCCAATTTCATTTATTCAATTTCATTATTTTCACGAGCGCTTGATTTCACCACAATGCCTCACTTTTAATTGTGTCGATCAGCACGAAGCGGAGAAGGAAGGGGGGGGGGGGGGGGGGGGACGGAGGTCGCATGTGTAAAACGTTTACAATTTATTACAACCCTACTACAAGTCCATGGAGGTGTTCAAAGAATTACCTTTGTGAATTGGGAAAAAACACAACACAATTTTCCAACAACATCTATACGGCCACTGCTGAAAACAGAATTGTTCGTTTCGATATGAGCACAGCAGCTTAGACTTCTGCTCCAAATTTGCGCGTACTTTGGAAAGTAAAATGTTACGAGGATTTGAGAGCCCATGTGCGTCTACGTCTGAACCCATACCCACTGCACGTTTGCTGTTAATCTCAGCTGATTGGAGAGCGACACTTTGTTCTTGCTTTCTTTCTTTTCTTTTATCGTTTCTCCCTATCAGTCTTACTCTTTCCCGACTTTAAGTGACCGTTATTGCGTTGATGTCTTCTTCTTTTCAGAAAACACAATTTTTGTTCGTTAACGAAAACTAGAATTATAATGAAGCAAATCATAAAAAATTAAGCTTCAAAAAAGAATAATCATATCATTAGCATACCCAAAAGAAACGAAACAACTTATGGTGAATTAATCCATGTACATAAAAACGATATTATGAACAAGGCGAACGTTCGATAAGATCAACTTCGTGCGCACATTTACTGAAGACAAATTTACTCACACGGCGATTTGACTGAAAGACAGATATCTTTCCAGACAAGAGATAATGAAATTTGAACAGAAGTATCCCAAGACATTCATTTTCCACACTCAATGAAAGGCCATTCACACTTTACCAGACACTGAAGAAGACAGCAGTGAGTATGCAGTGGCACGACGCGGTAGAATCAGGCGCTCGTCAATTTGGGGGCATGTGGGGTTAATGGTTTAGATTCATTTGTCTTGTTTTCGAGGAGAAAAATAGCCTCCTGTCTTCAATAGAGGTCAAGATATTTCCGATTGAAGAAGGCAGCGCTCGCCTGTTTTAAGAAGAAATATCGAGAAAATAGCCGCTAGAAGTTGTAACTTCCATAGCTTTAGAGTTCTTGGGAAATGAAAATTTACATTTTTAAGCCTTTAACCAACGTCGTTTGTCGGCAAAATTAACACAGAAATGTTGTTTTGGGGTGTGTTTTTTTCATAGACATAAAAGATGTTGAGACAAGTAACAAAAATGTTATAAAGTTTACCAAACAGGCAGGAAAATGCCGTTGTCTTAGTTTTTATAATTTTGACGAGCGTCTGGTTTTACCACGATGCCTCAACATTGTTTGCCTCCGGTGGTCAATTGTTTACGGCGCATTTCACTTCCGGGTCGGACTAGGCACATATTGATAACGTGGGTGGTGATGGAGAGATTAGGGAGGGGTGGAGGGGGGGGGTTGGGGAGAGATGGTTGGGGAGTGATCAAGGAAGTTACAGTAAGCTCCTTGAGAGTGATGGAGAGATTGGTGTGGGTGATGGGAATGTTGGCAGAAGGTGATGGAGAGATGGGTGAGGGAGGGCCGGAGGAGGGGAGATAAAGATGATAGATGTTTGATAGGAAAGATGGAAAGAAGTGATGGAGGGTTAAGGGGTGGGAGAAGGGCTGAGATATGGGGGAAGTCGATAAGAAGAATAGCGAGCTAGCACCTTAAGGGTGAATTATGTTACTGTTGTTCCGAACCCTGGTCCCCCCTCCCACCCCCCTCCCCCAAATGCATACACACCGCATCATCACTTGTTTGCTTGCACTTGAAGCGGGTGATTGGAGAGCCTCACTGGCATGTCCTACTTCTTTTCTACTCACCTGTTATTTTTGTCTTTGTTCGTTTTCCTTGCTGTACTTGACCGTTAGACTACTTGTTTACTATTCAAACTGATTCTCATAATTGTCGTTCTAGCCTTCTATTAAGATGATTATTTACTCGCTCTCTCCGTGTACCCATGTACACCTCTACCATCATCTTCCCTCTACTATCTACCCCTCTCTCTACTATCTACCCCTTTCCCTACTGTCTATCCCTCTCTTTTCTCTCT